GACTATATGACCCACAGAGGTCCCTTCCAACCCCTACCATTCTGTGATTCTGTGATTCTGTGATCCTGAGCAATAAAAACTCACCCAGTGCAAATATCCTCCTCAGAGGATGGCAAATTGTGGCCACAGCCTCTCCTAAACAGACCGAGGCATTGTGGAACCTGTAAAACACCTTGCTTGGAGAGAAGCAGGTCAATGTCCTCAGTGTACCTTTGCAGGGAGAAATAGGTATATTAAAAGACAGATTTAGTGCAAGCACAGTGCAGTTTTCACTGTGAAAAAAGGAAACTCCTCGGTCAGCCTCAGTAGAGGGTGTAACCCCAAGTTTTGTTCTATTTCTGCAAAATCTTTCCAGCACCTGATCAGCACATCGAGCTGAGTATGTCTCTGCCATTAGTAAATGCACTAAATGAGGAGCTTAAACAATCATCCCCAAGTTGTGCTTAAACGCCCGGAATTTAAGAAGAAGACATAAAAGAAATGCTGGTGGTTTTCGTTTTCCCACTCACTTTAAACCGGAAAAAAAAAAGTTACACTTGAAAGTTCTCTTGGCAAGCACGAAAACAATATATTTGTAAGGAAAAGAGAGATGCTTAGTTTTGGAATGGTATGAGCTGGAGGGAAATCACAAGTTGTGTCACGATGCCTGCTGGTGTCGCAGGAACTGACCTCGCCGTCTCCGGTTTGGTTCGAAATGAATTGACTGTGGATGGCACAGAGCGAGGATGCAAATTGGGAACGGTTTGGCAGAAATTTGGCAAGAAGATTTGTAATGTTCAGACTGTTCTCCTGCTTCTGTTCCCACCACTGGGGGCCAAAAATGCTGCTGCTGTCAGCAACACTGACTGAACAAACAGCACATGGCAGAAAAATAACAAACAGGATGAGCAGCCGCCCGTGTTCTGGTCTGGAGATTTATCTGCCCACGGACTTTTAGGACAGTGCAAGTGGGTAGGTTAAGCTATGCTTATTGCTTTGCTTCTAGAGAGAATTAAGCTAAGTGTAACTAAAGTCACTTAAATCTAGAATGTGAGGGCTCAGATTCACGGAGAGACCAGAGGCTGCGAAGACCCGTTGCACCAGAGGCTTTGCCCACAGGCACACCTTTACCCTACTGCAGTTAAGGTAGCCCTCTCAATGCTGAACCACCTCGCACTACACTGAGGGCCAAACTAGCTTGAATTAGGGGTAATTACCATGGCTCACCTGGCAGGCAGCCATTTGCCTGAGCCCAGAGGCTACGCCTGTGCTTTCACACCTATGCTTTCCTTAGCAGGTGCCCTGGGGTTTAGCTGAGAGCTGCTCCCTCACCTCTGCTGCTCTACCCAGGGGGTCCAGGAGGCAAGAGAGGCCACGCGCCGTACAGAGGTATCGTCACATACAACCCTACACCTGTTTCATGAAGAATTTCAGGATGACAACCAGTTATTAAAGATACGCAGACACCTTAGTGAGGATTTTGCAGTTGAGTGTGGAGCACCCTGGGCTCCTTCCGCTTGGAAGGGGAAGCCATGCTGCCAATGCTGGAGCATGGTGCCAAGGGACAGCTGAGCCCAACCCAAAACCTAGCATGAATCATTGTTTTCTCCACTACTGGAACTGAGCCTGAACTGCGATTTGGAAATCTTCTTGAAGTGTGAGTTGAATGAGCATCGGTCACAGCTGAACACCATCCAGCATTTAAGCAAAACTTCACCGTGCTTGGACGTCCTTCAGAGAGGGGAATTTAAATCACTGCAATTTGTATGGCAGCTTGCCAGGAAGAAGACACAAGATGTGCGAGTTCATATATTTATTAACCGCTTCTCACTGCGTTCCTCTTCAAAATCTTTCCTGCCATACTCTTCTGGATGGTTGTCACATAAGACATGCCACCAGCAGGGACTTTATGTGACTGCCTGCAGTCCTGCCCTGGGTCTCCCGGGTTTCTGTGGCAGGAATAGCCTGGCCTTTCCTCTTGAAGGTGGCGTGCTTTTGTTTTACTCCATTTTGGTGTTGCTTGCAAAGCACCTGGCGTTGCGAGGCCTCGCACAGAGCCTGTGCCCCCAGCCGCCCCTTGCTGGCAGCCTTGGTGGGCAGCCTGGGGGAGCTGTTCCTGAGGGCCAGCCTGGAGCGGGCAGGGCTTGACCTGGCTCCTCACTCCTGTCCCAGCCTCCCCAGGGGACAGTGGCAGCTCCCCAGAGGGACCCAGGTCTTGTTTGGGGATTTTTTTTTTTCCCCAATGAAAGTGTTTTCCAGCAGGACGCAGCCATGCTGGGAGCAGCCTCGTATTTGCCCTGTGCTATATGGTGCAAATGAGCAGAAAAGTGATGGTATGTGAGGTCTTTGCTTTGCTATCGAAAGAGCTCACCAGGAAAAAAAACAAAAAAGAAAAAGAGAGAAGATGATTGCCATCTGTGTTTGAGCCACCTAAACCATGCAAACCACAGAGAAAACAGCCTGTGACAGGTATAATTAGGCTGGGGTCCCAGGAGCACACACCCACTGCAGCCTACAAAAAGCCCAAAGCTCTCGTCGTGGGTGCGGAGAGTGAGCACGTGCGGTGGTGTGACAGCTGGGTGTGACGGCCGGGCTGACCCCTCTGCGTCAGCTGGCCCGGTGAGTCCCCTCCTCCGCTGTTCATGTCTGTCTTTCCCATGTGCAGCCTCTGTGGAAAGGAAACCAAATTAAAAATTGCCTTTTATTTTAAAAAAAAAAAAAAAGTTCATTTGCCATTGAACTCATCCAGTTACAATGATCTTTTGATAAACTGCAATTTAATTTAATTGCAATTTAAGGTAGGTCTGACAGCTAAAATAACATAGAAAAGCCCCCCGGGGACGTGCAGCTCTGCACCCCTCGGCGGATGCTGCACTGACATTTAGGAACTGGGCACCAGGGAGAAATCAGTAGCTCACTGAGTGCCCGCTGCTGGCCGCAGTCCCCTCGGGTTGTACGTGGCAGGTCTCAGCCTTGATATCCGATTTTTGCGCTGTCGTGACGGGCCCCCCGAAAACAAGCAAAAAGGGATCAAATCAATTTTGATTAATAAGCAACCCCTCCTCATCTCAAGGGATGGTCTGTTGCTTATGAGCTTGTAGTGTGCTGTGAAGTTCACCGTAGAAAATACCCAGGTGCTGGCTAGAACATATGAAAGCTCATTGTAGCTAACCCCACGTTATTGTTGTTGTGAGTACAACCCGTAACAAGCGCGGCGGTAACGGCGCAGCAGAACCCCAGCACGGGCCAGCCGCTGTGGTTATAGCCTGCTGCTGCCTCCGCGCCGCAGGTGAGGTTGGGACTCTTTGCCTCCCGGACCGTAGGAATCTCGCGTGGATTTGGCTCTCCCCATATTCACCAGGGTGCGTGGGAGCTTGTCTGTGGCGAGGGGTCCAGGGCGGGTGCATCCTCGCTGCTGGTGCCTGACAGGGTCGGTCAGCCATCCCGCACTGCTGCCTGGGCGCTGGGCTGGAGCCAGACGGGGACGAGGAAAACCCCTGGTGGGGCTGTTGCTGCCAGAGACTTCGCCGTGAGAACCGCAGCTGGGAGAGGAGCGTTTTGTGCTTGTTTCCACAGACCTATCCAACACCATTCGCATGTGCATCGTTACAACTCGTCTTAATTTCTGCAGCTTAATATTTATGTGTGGTATATGCGACTGATAGGTGTTACGCAGGCGGTTCCTTTCAGTCTGCTCACGTATTTTTACTGGTGCAAATTCTGCACCAAGCTGTAGCTGGTATGCTTTGGCTGTTTACTTTCCTTGGTTGTCAGATACAAATATATTTTGAGTTTTGTGCATCAGAAATTCAACTGGTATGCACAGCGTACAAGTGGCATCGTTAAAAGCCAGGTACTAAATTTTTAGCTGCACTTGAAACTCCAAGAACCAGCAAAATTTTGCATGTAGTTCTGTATCTCAAGAGAAAATTTAAATACTAAGAGCACATACTTATGACTATTTTTATTTCTTCAATCTACTTTTAGGCAAATACTCTGTGTCTAGACTAATGTTCTTTTTTTTTTTTTGCAAAGATCTCATGCTGCCAGCCTTGCTCTTAAATAACTCATATCCATGAACATTGCTTCATAAAGATAAAAAAAATGATTAGCCCTTAATGTGTGCTTTCTGAACATGATCGTTTCTAAATAGCTGGGAAAAACTGCATTAATTTTTTTTTTTTACCTGATTCCAAAACCCCACAAATATTTACTGCAAGTGTTGGCTTCGGCAGCAAGAGCGGGTGAAGGGATAAAGGCAGTTCGGGCCAGAGGGTGCCACAAACACCGAGACACGGCTGCGAACACGCCATCCCTAGAAGCAGCCGCTTACAGTAAACCAGCTTTTCTGACAGACTTGCTAACAGAGCCAACCCTAACGCGGGCTGGGGAGATGAATAACACCAAGGAAGGTGCAGTGGGAGGTTTGGCGCTGCGAGACGACCTCTGAGTTGCGTGACCTGCTTTTGAAGGCACCGATGCCCGGAGGAGAGGTCTGTGCCAGCTGAAGGTCCCCGGCAGCGCTGCAGGGACCCACCTCGCGTTGTCCCCGGGTTCATCGCCAGGCACCAGCACAGGCGGGCCGGTGCAGAACCTGTTGAACGCTGAGGAGCCGGTGACTCACGTCGAGCCCACCCGGCTGAGCTACCTTTTGTGACAGTAGACTGAAAAGACATGAAAAGCAATCCACAGCAGGAAAAAACAGCTTTTTCTTGTTTTCTGGGGCATAATAACCTGCCTTGCAAGTCAACAGCTGTGAGCATCGTGCTTAAACTCACAAATAAGAAAGAGATGTTGCAGGCAGAGATTATCAGTTGCTGCAGAAGATACAAATACTTTAACACCGCAAACTACTACTAAAGGCAGGTACTCTTCCTTGTTAGCTGCCAGACAGTTTAACAGACACATTTCATTTATTCTCATTAATGTTTTGGAAGATACGGTGCTTTCAGGTGACTTTCTTTTTTAATGTGCGCACTGGGGACTCTACATCTTATTAAAAATGAGATCGCAGTGACTCTAGAATGTCAAAGGACTTAATCGGTGCAATGCCATAGAGAAGCTGAAGACCTAATGTAGGCTAAACGTGACTCTGTAAAATGGAAACAGCTAAATAATTCAGTTTCTGTGTGGTGTGTTCATTGTCCAGCCAGACTCCTCTCAAAGGGTTGAGGTTTTTATTAAAAGAAGAAGAAAGAAGAGAGTCACAGTTCTACTTCAAAGCTGTTTCAAATCAGTTGTTTTCCCCCCATCTCTCCTCTCCAGGTTGCGGAGCCTCCTTCAAGACTGAGGAAGGATCTGGCTGAAGATGGAAATTGCAAGTGTAGTGAGTATAAAGCTACGCTGCTGTGTCATCTCCATTTTTTGTTCCCCCCTCTTTGCCTCCATCAGTTTTCTGCCTCTCTCAAGCCAAAGGTGCCGTCCCACCGTAGCAGTAATACAAAGCCTCTCCCCTGCCTCTTTCCAAGGTGGGGATTTTGCATTTTGTTACATATTTAAAGCTGCCAAACCAACAGTGTTTTAAATGATCTGACAGAAATAATGCTCTCACCACCTGCCTTTTTAATACCTGAAGTTGGCTGGAGGCTGTGAGCTGCTCTTTTGTAAAGGGTTTGTTACTCAGTGGGTCATTTTTGTAAGTCTTTGCTGTGCCACACGCTTCTTCCGGGCGTGGGCAGGTTTTAAGTAGTCTGAAATCTGCTGTGTTTCACCCATCTAAAATGGAAAATATTGGGGATCTTCAGCTGCACCTGGTGGAGAGCGCCAAATCTATGCTTTACTGAGACGCCTCTCAACACGGATTTAGCTGATGTCCCATTGCAGGTCACCCACCCTGGCAAGACCTGCCTGGATTACTACAGGAATGACAGCACAGTGCTGTCTCTGTATGGAAACCCAGGGAACGACACAGACTTCACGTGCGACAAAAGGCAGGTCAGGCAGTTTGCCCGAGCCTTCCTGCCCGCGTGTTTCTGGCTCATCTTCTCTGTGGGCGCAGTGGGAAACGCCTTAGTCGTGGTCATCTATTGCAAATACCGCTTCAGGAGGAGCATGATGGACCGGTACCTGCTGCACCTGGCCATTGCAGACCTGCTCCTCCTCTTCACCCTCCCTTTCTGGGCCAAGGCTGCCTCCGATGGCTGGGTCTTCAAGAACTTCATGTGCAAAGTCGTCAACAGCATGTATAAGATCAACTTCTATGGCTGCAGCTTGTTTCTAACCTGCATCAGCTTTGACAGGTACATCACTATTGTCCAGGCGACGAAAGCTAAAACTTCTAAGCGAAGGCGGCTCCTGCGCAGCAAACTCATGTGCTTGGCTGTCTGGCTGACATCCGTGAGCCTGTGCATCCCGGAAATCATGTACAGCCAAAGCACGCAGGTGGGGGATGTCACGGTTTGCAAGATTACGTACCCGCCAGACATCAGCATGGTCTTCCGAGTTACTGTCCTGGCCTTGAAAGTCACAATCGGGTTCTTCCTCCCGCTCCTTGTCATGGTTATTTGTTACACACTTATCATCAACACCCTCCTGCAAACCAAAAGGTCCCAAAAGCAGAAGTCGCTGAAGATCATCACCTTGATCGTCACCGCTTTCCTCCTCTCTCAGTTCCCCTACAATATTGTATTGCTGGTCAAAGCCATCAACACCTACGCCAGGGTGGCGTACACCTGTCAGGCTGACGACCGGCTGGGGAGCCGGGGTGAAGAGCAGTCCTCCTCCGCCTGCGACAGCCAGGAGCACAGCTCAAACTGGTCCTTCGCCATGCTGGGGAGGCGGCGCGTGAGGAGCTCCCTGATCCTCAGCACCCACTTGACCTCCTCCATTTCATCCCCTCCTTGCCAAGTCCTCTTGTAAGTTAGTCCCCCACCTCTCCCCTCCAGAGGAACCGCAAACTCTTTGGAAACCATCTGTATACCCCAAAGACTGTCCCAGAGGAGCGGGGAGTGCTGGGGGCTCCTCGCGCAACCTGTCCTTGCCGTGTGAGACCCAACCAAGGCTTGCTGGCTGAAAGGCAGGGAAACCTTTGGCACAGGGCAGCAAACTGGAGCCGTACTCGTCGTAAGCAGAACTGATAGAGGATAAAAGCTATTTTTGTGACAGCTGTAAATACCCAGCCCATCTGCAGCGCAGACCACAACCTGAAATAACAAGCCTTGCAGGGAGGCGGTAAGCCCAGCCGCAGCGGCAAGAGGCAGCTGAAGCAGGATGAAGCGCCGTCCCACCCACACCGCGCCGCAGGGAG